ACTTACCGTACTGGTTATGATACCAGCACCAGTCGGGATTGTCTGTCTCTCGTGGTCGAGAGCCAGATCGCTTACGTGAGGCGCTTCTACGCGGGGTTTTTGACCGACTACGGTCATTGCGAACTCTAAGATATCGTGTAAGCGTGTGACATAGTTCGGCCATGTCAGTCGAGGTCGATTGGGGTTTTTCTTTGACGGAAAAAACCTCGGCCTTAGAAGATCTAGTGATTTCCAAGATTCGATCGGCAGATGCAGCTAGTTCATCTATGGCATTGTTTTGAAATGAAACAAGCACTGCCTGCACCTGTTGAGGGAGTTTAGACAAGAAAAGTTGTCTAAATAGGCCATCATCGAAAGTTCGTTGGCCGATGACTTCTCTCATTCTAAGCAACATGTCCGTCGCAGAACCATGTTGCAAGTCGATATTGTTAAGGAGTTGGTCTAACCGTTGTCGATCAGTTAGGTCTCCTCGTTTTAAAATCGATAGTTTTAGCGTTTCGTAAGGTTCGGGAACATCACTAGTAAACATACTAGGTGTTACGTACCTGTTAAACTCGCGCGGTAACGCCTTAACTACCGCAAAGAAACGTGTGCGCGAGTCCGTGATTCCGTGCATACAAAAATCGGCTTCTGCATAGCAGAACCAGGACTCGATATTGTCGGGCCAAAATGGCGTTAACTGAATCGAAATAGGGGGAATAGACTTTAACTTAAAAACCTTAGGAGTGTTCCGTCATAGTAATATAGATAACGAAAAATGTCTAAGTAAAATATATCCGAAAAAAATTCGCGAAATAAAGTATATCACAATATATAAAATTCAAATAAAGAATAACAATGAATAATAATATTCCGAAATGGAACAGACTCACAGTATATTGACTTGGTGTACCAGATCACGTCGGTCTCACCAATGATGATGCAACGGATGTTCTAGTTTTACAACTAGCTACCAGTAGCACCTTCTAAATTTGATCGTTCCCAGTTAGATAGAAATCAGAAGTCAGACGAGAAGAGGCAGGAAAGATATATTTGATTCGTTACCAATATATCGAGGACCTTTTCTATGAGCTGGCTAATGAAACGTAGGAGCTGTGTCCCACGCCGTGTTGGAACGTGATCTGGTGCAGATGCATGACCGAAAGCCTTCAGCTAAACAAGTCCACTTAAACAACATGGTCAGCATCCAATGTCGAACACTTAATGAACTATTGATTTTGGGGAATTATTTACAGCTACAATATATCAAAAATCGACATTTTAAGGTTAGGGTTAACTTCACGTTCTCTCAGTCTATGGAATGTTCTAGTGGGGTCCCCCGAGGCTCAATACTAGAACCTCCTCTTCTTGATTTATGTAAACGATCTTCCACAACAATAATAATCATACTTATTGCTTTTTGCTGATGATGTGAAACTTTGGAGAGAGATGCGCAACCAAGAAGAATACTGGCATATCAGGAGGATCTGACTCGACTTCAAAGTTGGGCAGACGACAACGAACTTACCTTCGACACTTAAAAAGTGTAAAGTAGTCCATCTGCAACATGCTGCAGACTACAGTTACAACTTCGGAAACTTCTCGAAAAACATTTATGTTTGTGGGTACACGACGACTTGAAGTCGTCTGCTAACGGTGACAAAAACGCCTCTCAAGCAAACCTTGTACTGGTAACACTGAAGCGCATTTTTGGTCAGTTTGACGATAGAAATTTCCAAATAATGGTCAACAGTTTTATTCGTCCCCATTTAGACCACGGAAACATAGTATTTCCTCCCTTTCTCCAAAAGGATAAGGACACTCTGGAGTGTATCCAACGGCGAGCAACGAAATCAGTTCGGGGACTCAAATTCAAATCTAATGAAGAGCGCCTCCAATCACTTAAACTTTACCCGTTACAGTATGGGCGTCTTAGAAATGACCTTCTTATGGCTTTTAGTATCCTTAACACTTCTGGTCATCCCCTTAAACATCTTCTTAAACTTAGTAACAACACTAACCTAAGAGGTAACACCCGGAAACTGGAGACCCAACATAGCAGAAAAGACTGTAGCCACAACTTCTATTCCGTAAGAGTTGTCAAATGCTGGAATTCACTGCCGACTGAGCTGGTCCAAGTGACTTCGTAGGAGTACTCTAAGAGGAAACTTGATCTATTCTTAAGGACTAAGGATAACATCTTATTATGATTTACCAATTTCTTTTTTTCCTATTATCGTTAATGTACCTATGTTCTTGTCTAGAGGTATTGGTGGTCCACTGGTACTATACACGGAAGCCCGCTAAGTGAAAGCTTTTTCTATTCCGTCCATAACCATTTGATTTATGATTGCACTCAAGGGGTTTGCACATAAGTTGAGTTTTGTGCTTCTATTTCATCTGATCATAACTATTTCACTCTAATTCCTGCCTGAATATTCATCGATTAACGCTTCACACTGTTATGGAGTCAGCAGTTTGTATATTTCTGAAGTTGTTAGAAATCGTAGTACTTTGTTTGTCTGAGTTCGCGGCGTACGTAGGCGCATTTAATGTATTTCTATTTTTGGAGTTTCAAAATTTCGGACTTTCTGTAACGACTACAGATCAGAGAAACATATAGATTTTCACCATTTCTCATAGTAAATTTTTGGCTCATGTAATTTTTGCTACGGAAGTGATTGCTTTATTACTTCATTGGCAGTCACCTAACAGTAAGGTAATGTGTTTATAGTATCCTTTACTTTTATGTTTTTACTAAGTTAGTTTTGGTCACTGTCTTTCAGATGCAACGAATATTTGAGTAAATACTTATGGTTAGTTCATTTATTCACGCTACTGTTGCTTGGCGTTTATTATTTAAATGACGATCTATTGCTAAGCTTTATCGATATTGTAGTGATCGTGTTGTAAAATTGAGATTAATTATTTCATTTCAGAAGGTTGTAACCTTAGTCTCTGGGACTGTAGACACATGGGCTTGCATGTTGTGTGATGGCCAAAGCATAGTGTTTTAAGCAGGCAATTAGCACTACTCACTAAAGTAATAGTTGATATTCTTTTCGGATGTTCGTTGTATAAGATAGTGGCCGTTGTGTACAATGACACTTTTCAGTGGGTTTATAGAATTCAACCCCTGACTTTCGGGGCGAAATAAGCTAAAGATTACCTAATGCAGATATGGTGTTGCAATAGCTTATTCATTTTCCCAAGTTTGAACACGCCTTTTAAATGCTTCAGTCTGGGAGTCTTCAGTCTTCAGTAATAAGGATAGTAGGTTGATGAACCTGTGTTAATCCTGACAGATTTCCTTCCAGTGAAGGTCCAGCTTCTTTTTGAAAATGTTCACTGATGGTGCTGATACCACTTGTTCTGGTAAAGCGTTCCAGTCATTGACCACTCGATGAGAAAAACGGGACCCCACCCTTAGTTTATTAGGTCGCGGTTTCAGAACCTTCTTGCTATGACCCCGGAGATTATTAGTGCTGGAGGGAGCAAAAAGGTAAGACATATTAACACCCAGATCATAATTAAAGATACGAAATGCCAGTATAAGGTCACCTCGCGTCCTACGATAAGATAAGGGGAAAAGATTTAGACGTTTTAAACGCTCATCGTAAGGGAGTTTGGAAAGACCCTTTACTAATTTTGTCCCTACACGCTGGACACGCTCAAGCGATTTAGTATCCTTTATCAGACAAGGGCTAGCTGCTTGGATACAGTATTCTAAGTGTGGCCTTACATAGGTGGGATATAATATTCGAAACATATCCTCGTCAAAGCATTTAAATGCTCTGCGAAGCGACCATAGCGCTCGATAGTCTTTGGAAGCAACCGCATTGCAGTGCGTAGTAGTTTTTAAGTCATGACTTATAATTACTCCTAAGTCTTTATGCGCATGAACGCGTGGCAGAGATGTACCATTAATGGTATAGTGGTAACTAATATCGTGCCCGATGTGCATGAACACGCTCTTCCTGGAATTAACTTCCAGGCCCCAATCATGAGCCCACCTAACTAATTCGTCTAAATCTGCTTGTAGATAACAACGATCAGTCTCATTTCTTATTGTTCTCCAGATTTTAACATCATCCGCAAACAATAACGTCGACGACTTAAGTAATAAAGGTAGTTCATTAATATACAGAAGGAAAAGTAAAGGGATCAAGATGGTGCCTTGGGGTACACCACTTCTGACCGGTTTCCATTCGGATAGAGTTCCATTGACTCTCACTCTCTGTCTGCGGTCACATAAGAAGCTTCCTCTTGAGTTTAGTTTTGAAAGTTATGTATTCACTATGAGTAAGTTTCCGGGGCTTTCACTAATACTTCAAGCTAAACACCGGATAACGTTTAATAATAGTGTACCAGATGTTTAATCATTAATAACTTCAGAACTCCAGCAAGTTCTCAACTGTATGTACTCTAGACGATAATCGCACGTTTAAGTATATGGTGACTTAGGCGGTGTAACATTATGGCTTTAAAAACTTTCGGTGATTGAGTTCAGTCGGTCAGCACTATAAATCCATCCTTCCAGTCTACTCTACGGTTTCGACGAAAAGTAGACGTTGATTACAAAATACAAGTCTGATTAGGTAAGCTTAGATTGTCTCTGGAAGAAGACGTCCGAGACTAAGTAACCACACACGTATATTTTTGTATTGACGAGTTTCGGTCGCTTGAATTTTAAAAACGTATTAAAATTTATTTATTTAAACACATGAACGTTGGTACAAAGAGGTACCAAATATATGCTCCACAAGTCAAATGACTTGTGTGACGGCTGGGATACTGCCCGGGAGCTTAAACCAAGGCAGTTGGTTTCCTTACGGGGTCACTCCACGACCCTTTGACCTAAAGGTCTGGTCTACAGGGCAGTGGACAAACTTCAGGAGATGCAGTCCCATGGTAGCCGGTGACCAACAGTAGGTTTATGCGCCATTCTTTCCCTCAGGATCCTGGAGTCCATGTGCATCACTTGTTTGCAGTCAGACTTTTCCAACTCTAGGTGAATCCTACGTATCCACCAACCCAGTTAAAGCACTGGACATTCGCTTTTCGTCCTCTCGACTTCATAAACAACACCGCTGCCACGAGAAGGTAGTAAGTAGGACTTTCCCGTCAGTGACTGTATACGCATGGCCATGTGAGAGCATTTGAAGAGGGAGGGATAACTCCACCTTCGGTCGTACCATGGTATTCGGGGGCACGTAGGGACGATAAAGGGGCGGATTTGCATGCATGCAGTATGCAATTTTCTTTGAACCTAGCACACAACAATACTGTCATGTACTGTCCTACCGTCCTTGGCATATCAGGCTACCCGAAAGTCACGAAAACACCATAAGGGCGTACGGCAGGCTAGGTACTATAATATAAACTTTGAAAGTCTTCATTGTCGAATAACTAACCATTGTATTTTCGCATTGAACTTAAGGTTAAGACTTTGCAATTAACCTCAGGACAATTACACCACTAGCTTACGCTCAGTTTGATCTCTACTAGCTTTCACTTCAAATTAAACTTGAAAAGTCATCAGGCTGTATCGTTATTCTTTTCTTAGACCTATAAACCGCTTGAGTTTGTTCGCATTTATCAGTACAGAATGTGTGTTAATAGTGCGGTCTAATTTCAGTGGTCGAGAGTTGTACTCCATATAATGTTTTACGTTGCTGGAATGAAAGTGAAATAAGTGAATAAATGCAATTATTGAGTTTCCCTGTTTTGTGTAAGCAAACAGGTAAGCTATCTACAGTGGCTACGATCTTAACAGATGTGACTGATTTCTGAGTAAGTTCTGTCCTTGGATCTTCCTATATTGCAGTCTGCTGTATTTCTAACACAAGGGTGTTTAGTTTACTTGTGTTTTGCATCTTAGCCCCCGTTGTGCATATACAAATGGGTAAAATTAGTTTCAACGCAACAATGAGGTGGCACTGACATTGCGTAACTAATGTTTACTTGTACCTCAAGTGATTAGGTCATATCACTGCAAACATGTTTTCCTAACAACTGAGTCGCGCTTGATAAAAAAATCACTTAGAGTTCCATTTATGCTATACTGCCGGTAAATTCTTTTTTTATTGTCCTTGTAAACGCACTCAATAGAAATTATTCGAAGTGTTAGGGATCATTCAACAAATATAAAGTCAACTTATTGACATTTGTTTTCAATAGATTGACGTCGAGGGATCTGTCTCTCTTGAGTCTTCAAAAAAGTAAGATAAACTCTCAGACACCACTTATTCTGTTTCGTTCTTTACAACATGATGTTTGGTACCTAGTTTCGTCCTTCGGCACTAAATTTTGCTTCAGGACTGATCTATATCGTTGCTTTATTGTACAATGGGGATCACAGCAGTTGTGTGGTTGGCTTCAGTTTTTTTTAGGTGCCCCATTAATCCAAGTGAATGGATGGCTATTTAAATGTCTACAAGAGTCCAAAAATCTTATTTGTATTTTGGAATTTTCTTTACCTATGGCTTAGATAAGACATGCATCTAATTTTCAAAAAGCAGGCAGATTAAAACAGTTAGTTGTTTGTTGTACACGGCTGAAAATAAGGAAAGTGCATAAATTCCGAGTACTTAATCACAATTGTTTGTCAGGCATTTCCGAGATATGGTAAGACCAATAGACTCTGTACTGGCTGGTATATTATTAAGATGAGAAAGAATCAGTGTTCAAACTAAAACTTGAAGTTACTGGTTATTAGCTCGCGGCATGTATTAGGGTGGGAGTTTGTTTCTTGTGGTTCTCGAAAAGTTCGTGATCTAACTTCGGCGATCTTAGATGGTGTGTTTCAAAGTTTGCGGCGGACTTATGTACTCTTATTTTTTTGTTTTCTAGCCCCTGAGATTTTCAGTTATCTACCCCTCCAGATGTCAACTACTGTTGATATAACTTTGGACTTTTTATTTGTAATTGACACCGTGATTCGAGGCTTAGTAACTTAAATATGAACACGTTTATATCAGCTGCCACGTTTCTGACTGTTTACATCCCATTACATGAAGATTTTAAAGATCGAATCGGTCGATTAGTTGACCGTGTGGGGATACAGGAGTTTTCATAGTCGTCAGGCTAACATACTAGTTTGTATTTTTTTGAGAGGTAACGTAACTGCTGTGTCTCATATTTTCCATCTTTTGATACCCTTCGTAAATTCTTTAGTACTCCTTTGCTTTTAACCTTATTCTACTCAGTCTTAGGTAGGTGGTATTTTGTTACAGTTTTGGTTTTTCTTCACCATAAGTGTTTTTATTTTGTGTGTATTTAAGTGTTTATTATTTATTTATTTTTCAGGCGTCAAATTTTTCATGAAACCGCTACAACTGTCCAATGAAAATTTATCTGAATTTGTGCAGTCAAATACGTTGGAGTCTGATTCAGGAGATTGTTTTGGTGTAAATGTTTACGAGTTCCAAGAAGGAGAAGATCTTTATGGTCCTCGTGCACGTGGTTATCAGAAACCTAAACATATGTGGATGGCCAAAGATCAAGCCCTAACGAATATTAAGTCAAACAGTCCAACTCCGGCGACAACAACTCTAGATTTTGGTGGTGATTGTTGCACTCAGAATGGTCTCACTTCTGTTCCTCCTGGTAATTTGAGATGTCCATCACCAAATAATATGACGTACAACATGGGTTCCCCATCGACATCTGGCAGTATCCAGGGGCTCTCAACAGCCCTATCGTCTTGTACCACAAGCAATAGTTTATGTAGCCATACCTCTCCAGCTATTGGTTTAAATATGGCTGAAGTCACTAGCACATTTGAAAGCTCTACTTTCACTGAAGTAAAAAATGAAAAAGGCACAATGCTCACTTGTGAAATAAACTCCGTGGTTAAAAAATCTAAATCCAGTGTCAAACTGACTACCAAAAAGCGAACTACGGGAAAATATTCCCTTAAAAAATTTGAATCTAGCAGTGATACTAATTCATCTGTACCTGATACCAGTAAAGTTCAATCGTCAAATAATAAACAGTCTTATTCTCGCAAGCATCGACAACCTCGTTCTCGCACCAATCGGAAGTCTAAACGAAGTCCTGTGAGTGAATCATCGTTGAATTCGTTTTATCCAGCCCAAACTCCTAATTTGTCAACAGGTAACCATCTATCTTTATCACCCAGTTTGACTATGGCGGAACAGATAAGCCAAGAGTCTCCTGTCCAAACACCTATGTATTCCAAAGGTTTGACTTCATCGGCTTTCGTTTCTGGCGGACTGAAAATTCGGCTTCGCCGGGACGCAGCTATGGATTTCAACATTGGGAAAGGTAAACGAGCTAAAAGTAAAACGGCTCCTGCAACATTTCGTATTGTAGAGTCATGGTGTGATGCAGATGCTCCAGGAGGAGATTTTACCAGAAGGGCCAGAGCAGCTACTAGTAATTCTACTTCCCCTACATTTAGTCTGGTCTCGGGGGGATTACGTGTTGGTGATATAGTGTGGGCTAAACTTGCTGGCTATCCGTATTGGCCATCCCAGGTTAACGCTATCTGGGCCCGCACTGCCCATCAGCTTTCTCAAGCTACTCTACTTCCAACTTCACAGTCATTGGACAGCAATGCGTCATCTTTGGCTGTTCTTGCGACTCCTTCAGATCCAAGTTTAGCGGCTGGATATACTGCTCGCGTTGACTGGCTTGCTTGGGATCAGTGTTCTTATTTAAGCTGTGCTAAGTTGTACCCCTTTAAAGAGTCTTTTGATAAACTTTATAATCCACGTACCCGGGTAAAAGGATACGCAGAAGCTGTGCGCCTTGCGAAGCAAATTGTGAATGGGACCTATATTCCCAATGAAAATTTGGATTCTCAGTTGTGTATGTCTCCACAAAATAAATCCCACTCATCATTGTCTGGTCAGATTTCGGCGCCACCTAGTACTGATAGCCAGTGGTCATCTATGACAACCCTTTCATCCTCCCTAGAAATTCCGACTACAGGTACTAGTAATCAAACTTCTCGTGAATTAATGGACAAACATACCATACTATTGCCATCTGAACTACCACCAGATTCCTATGTATCATCACAATTAAGTTCATCTCCCCATTCAGTCACGAACCTCTATTCTGGTGAGGGATTAGTGAGAACTTCAGACGCATTTTCATCTACATCTAATAACTCATGCCTTCTAATTGGTGATAAAAGCCTGGAATTGCCTGAATTGGACAATATGGCGATGTGGGCTCCTCTTCCCCAATTAGATGTTTCAGGTCTTGGTGTTTTCCATGTTCCGACCTTTTCAGAAGATGAAGAAGAATTGGATCAGTCCATTGTGAATCAGCTGCACTTAGATTTCGGTTCATGTCTGCAATAATGATACAATAGCTATAATCGTGATATTAACAAAAAAGGTAATGCTTTTTTTTTATCTCCAATCTTTCAAAACAAAGTGTATCATTTTTTTGTTTATTCTTGTTTTGTTTTTTTTCTTTCAATATCTCTCCTTAATTGTGATAGATGTACACTCTAATCTATGAACATGTTCTGGTGCCTATTTTATGATATTACCCCCACTCCTTGAGTTTGTTTTTGTCATCCTCCATTACATTTACTAAACTCCTATTGACCGAATATCATTGTTGATTTTACAAATTGTTGACTTGTAGTTCATGCCCAGTTTGCAGCAGTCAAATTTTGGATATGTGTATATTAAATAAGAACCATTGATGCGTTACTGTTGTTATTGTCACTTTCTATGGAAGCTGCAAATCATGTATCTCACAGATCATCTTTATAAAACTCATATATATATATATATATATATATATATATATATATATATATATATTCAGGTATTTATATAATGTAGTAATTATGTATGAAGAAATTCAATTTTTAACTTCTAATCGCAAACCCTTTTATGCATATAAACAAAGTATATTTGCATGTGTTGTTTCTATTTTTTTTTCTTTTTTTTTCGTTACATTTTTGTACACATGCTCCAGCTTGTTGTTATTACTTCTTCTTCTTTTCTTTCTTTCTTTTTAAATACCTATTCGTATCCATCCATATATAAGAGTAACCTTTATAATCTGAATTGTTTGTTCAGTAAAGTGTATTTGTTGTTACTATGCCCAGTCATCATCTTTTTTTATGGGATTGGAAAAGTAATCTCAGCTTTGTCTTCTTTTTAAAAAAAAATTTATTTATGGGATTTTGCTATTTAGACATAACTAGTGTTGCCCCCCCCTTATCTTTTTAAAGAAAACAACAACAACAAAAAGACAAACAAACGATGCTCATTTCTTGTATAAATATATTATTATTTCCAAAGTTTACAAAAAAAGTAAAAACTTTCCTTTCTCTTTATCCTTATACAGTGATCCTACTTTTTTTTTCATATTTGAGATCATGAATGAAAAATAATTCGTCTTTGTAATAGTTTTTTTCTTCTTTTTCTTTTTAAAATGCTCACTTGTTTACTGGTCTCAAATGATAGTAATTCACAAAGTATAAATCAGCTTAGTGAATTTTCATGTTAGTTGTTTGATTAATTTATCCCATAATGTATATTTGCTCATCATTTCTGAAGTAACCAATTTTTTTTTCCTTTTAGATATAGGGAATCTTACGTAAAATTGTGTTTCATTTTAATCAGTCAGATACAATGTAGGACCAGGCACATATATGCATCGGTCCAACTTGCCATACCTCGTTAGCACAACAAGATGAACACCGGATTCATAGAAATAGTTAATTTAGTGGTGGTAATATATAAAAGATAGGTTGTATATAAGGACATAGTATAGGAAGGAAAAAAATTTATGAAGCAATTTTAATCTCAAGGTTTAAGGGAAGATAAAGAGTGTATACATCTACGCCATTGTGATCGATTCTGAGCCATGTCATCTAGAATCTCCTACCATTGGTTACGATAGTCACGCGAACCTCAACGAAGTAGTCTGCATCTACCAACATGACTCAAACTAGAAGTATGTGACTTCATGTTCTGATGCCACGTTTTGGTTTGTCCGCCCCTAACTCTCTTCCAATCACCCCCAATACTAGTCGGCATTGCGCCTCGTGGTAATCGGTGATTAAGCATACGTAACACGCGGCCTAAACATCTCAGTCGATGAAGATTTACAGCCTCATTAACTGATATACCATCATTCCCTGATACCTTGCGTCTAACTTCACTATTACTTACCCGGTTATCCCAGCAGGTGTGAGCAATATTTATAAGACATCTGTGGTCAACTACTAGTAACTTACGAGTATCTTCTACTCTTAATGGCAATGTTTCACAGCCGTAAAGTAGAACAGAACGAACTACTGCGCAGTATACTCGTCCCTTATTTGATAGACGGATATCTCGTCTTCGCCATACGTGACGTAAGTTGGCAAAAGCCAAATGAGCGTTCTGAATCCGTGATGAGGTTTCGTCAGACACCGACCTATTAGAGCTGATCAGACTTCCAAGATAAGTGAAGTTGTCGACGCGTTCGACTACTTCACTCCCTATCCTTAGTTCAGGTGTTGACGCAGGCCAGTCCTGGAGTAACAATTTACATTTGGATGAGGAGAAACGCGTCCCAAACATCCTGGCATTATTACTCAGTTCTAACAGAAGAGTCTGCATTTTGTCAGCGTCTTCATCAAACAGGACTATGTCGTTTGCGTATTCTAGGTTGATAAGTGGACCTGGTAGGAGATCAATTCCTGAAAATCCAGTTGAAGAGAGTGTTATTTCCAGCAATAGGTCTATAATGAAGTTAAACAAAAATGGGGATAGTGGACAACCTTGTCGGAGCACGATTTAGCCGTTTAGATAAATTTACCTGATTTCGTTTGTTATGGATGCTTTTTGACTTCAGTTGAATTAGATGTCATTAAAATTATCAGGAGGATCACTATTGACTTGTGAAATAAATAGTATGTTTGATCTGTCTACCTTCAATGGTGAAAGCTTATGTTCTATACTAACTATCGATAACGTTTTGTAAACAATGCTTACCAGTAATGTAATGAAATAACTAGTGAGGATTTTGTAAGTACTGCTTTTTTGATTAATACATACATGTATGCGATAACATAAATTGTCTTTTCAACTTGAGCACAAATATGCTGAGAATGTTGTGTAACAGTTATTTTTCAGAAATCCAGGCCAGGGTCTTAAAGCTTGTTGAAGAAGCAAAAGAACTTAGTATGATATTTTCTCACGGTGACAAAGTGGGAAACTGATCAGATAAATTTGTCAACTAATAAATTAACGATAGACCTATATGACGCGCTTGCACAAAATTGTTCTGTCTGACAATGCATAACGCACCGAACAGACTAATCCTGATAATTCATCTAGAAAACAGCATAAAATGAAGTCAGTCAGTTAGGATCACCAAATGTATTATTGTATGTTCCAAGCCCTGTCGAATGTCACGTGACAAAATCGCCAACCAGTACACCGACTCATACGACCTTGGCACTGTGCCAAACCAATGACACTAAGCAGTACGAGCAGCCTAGAATCAACTCTGAGTCCTTATTGGTTCTTCTTGCCCGTCTAGTTCAGAATACAATCTCAGCTTCCACTGCATGAATCATGCATTTCAGACATACGCAGTTTATATACAAGCAAATCATACCATAAAATAGAGAATGACAGTTATACATGATCAAGCCAAAAGTGGCTGAGAGACTGTAACTAATAATAATATTGAGTCGTAGAATAGTAGTCAAATGGAAGCTTATAACAAAAGAAACATGAATGTACATACAACATTGTTTCTAAATAGTTATCCAATAAGAATAATAATACACTCATTTATTCATCATTAGGAGATAACAGATACAATCCAACTACGAGTGTTTCGTTATAATTCTCCGGAAACTATGATATTCAAAAACGTAATGTTATCCACCGGTAATATATGTGTTAAGTATGTGTTTGGGGCCACTGCATGAAATATCAATCAATCTTTAAGTTGTTTATCTGTAGTAAATCAAACGGAAATTAGACCTACGCAGTTTTACTTGATCCATTACTTTGAACACTGAATATTAATGAATTACCCACGCAACTTCAGCGTTGGTCGTTGAATATCCGGTTAATTTTTCAAATACATGAAGTTGATGATAGTTTTAAACATGTATACCACAATCGACAACGTTAAAAGCTGGGAATTTATGAGTAGTTATCTCGTGACGGGCGGTGTCTAAAATCTGATACTGACATATGATGTGTTACGCACTAACCTAACAACTAACTATATGAGCGAGAAAGTGTATCGGGCTACTGAAAAAAACGCATATATATATATATACCAGCCTATCCTTAGGAAATTGACCCATTTCTTAGCCATGAAGTGCACTTGCCCTTTAGGTCACTTCTGATTGCCATTGGTTGACCTCATTACGCTACTTCTGACTGGCTCACCATATCGTCTTTCCCTCTTGAGAAATAAGTCTCGCACCTTAGGTCTAACTGAAGTCGTTGAGCGAAATATCATGATTATTTCTTCGGGGTCTGGCAACCACTAATCCTGGTACTCCAAACTGACTGTATCAACTAAATAATCTAGTTGCAAGTTCGGGCTAGGACGTTCCTTATCTGAATTTAAACGTCTGTTACGGATAAGGTTCACATATCGCGTCAGCTGTTTACCTCGTACACCAATTTTGCACATCATGTCACTGAATCTTCTTACAATGACACCTGTCACCCAATGTCGGTAGTTTCTTACGTACACTGGCAGTCCATTGGGGAACTCATGACCAGTTCTCTTCGCCTTGGGTTTATAATCTCAAATGAAGTTCAAACCTTGCCTCCGAACATTGACGGAGCAGGGAGGATAACATTGGGTGAAGCTAGATTCGGGATTATTCTGTATGCTCACGAAGTTCTGGATGACCTCCGTTGTGATTTGATGAGAGCTCGATTGAAGTTATCGACACCATATAAGTTCTAACAAAATTGACACTAGTTTTGGATATCAAGAAATTTACCTGCATTTTAGAAGAATGAATTCGAAGTTTATCCTTGATAAGTCTTGTTAACTGAACGATATACTCGGTTCCGAAGCTATTCTCGTAACCCCCAATCAAAATCTACACAGCGACTTGAACACGAGAGAAAAGGCGCAAATTATGCGAGAAACACTTTACTCAAATGTTCATTCATGTACAGAAAATGTAGGGTTTTTATAATATTTTAAGAGCCCTTGGGTTTTCCCGAAAATTCTGGAATGCTATTAAACACAGTAGCAACATAGTAATTCACTTTCGTGATGTTTCTGGCAAAACTTCTGGTGAACGCTGATTAGATAAAATGTTTAATATAAATATACTATTCGAAGTACAGTACTTTAAACTAAATGTACCTAACGTGAAGTGGTTCATTTCGGAAAGTTATGTGATTTAATGGTTAAAGCAATCAGTCAGTCAGTTACAACGTAGAACTTCGTACGTACGTACATCAGTTCGAGTTGCCATACCACATTAGTACAGAGATGAAGTTGTCAATTCAAATCCCATAGTGGTAGAAGTAGTAAGAGTATAAGCATTATGTGAAAGATTAGGGTTTGAAGATGTTATTGAAGGAGTATAATCCAGTGAAATAAATTTGGAAAGAGAAAAAGGATAGGGACATGTGGAATTCAGAGAATAAGAATTTGTTAGAACACAAAGAGTGGATGTACCTTCGCCATTGCAAACGATTTTGAGCCATGCCATTCAAGGTCTCTAGTCATCGGTTGCTATTATCACGCGAATCGCAACCAGGTAGTCTACACCTATCAACATGGCTCAGTTCACCTGTAAGTGGCTTCATGGATTTTTGCCATGTTTTGGTCTGTCCGCCCCTAGCTTTCTTCCAACCTACTCCTACACCATAAAGCATTGCACGTCGGGTTAAAGCAATCAGGTTTCAGCTATTAGGTTCCAGGCCTGAATTTCGCACATATTGTTTTTAGGTAGGCGAGTAAACAGATTCGTACTTTGTAAATAAGTTCTATTATTATACTAGGAATTCTAAACTTCATCCTGACATTTACTTATTACTTCCACTTATTTTTCCGATACATTCCTAAATCGTTGTACAATCATAGTGTATATCCCCAGTAACGAAAGCCTGTTACTGATGAAGTTAGAGTAAGGTTAAACTGATATAATACTGACAGTATCTGAGGTGACCAAACCGCTTTCAATGTCATCCCTACTCTCAAAATAGTAAAAAGTATCTCTTAACTTCAACAACTTAATGTGAAGAGTTTCATGCAGTAAATTTAGAATAAAACTACCATATACACAACTACACTTAACGGCGCAAGAAAACAAACAGAATACTACAAAAGACGTGTATAAAAGAAAACAATAAGTGGTTGTGTACAAGGGTTTATATGTATGAACAAAATAATTAACACTTATGTTTGCTTTCGTTAGTCATTATGACCTCGTCCACCTGTCCCTCCTCCTCCTCCTTCACGTACTTCAATCTGAAATTTATACTCTTGATCACAACCCATATACGCATCTGACATAAAGAACAACGTGAATTCATGACGACCTGAATGGGTTGGTGCACTCAAATCTAAACGAACTTTCATTGACTGTGAAACAAATAGGCGCTTGATTGCAACTAATGAATTTGTTTTTACTTCTCCAACTACCAACCACCAACCTTCTTCACGAGGCT